ATTCAACTTTAAGCTTGATGACTGCTTCCTGCATTCTTGGGAAGGGCATTGTCATTATTTTCTTTCTTCTGTGCTTAATTCTTTCTGAAGTATTTCTTGTAGATCTGGTCTGGAGGCAATGTAAACTCTTAGGAATTGAATGTCTAGGAAAGATTTTAATTCTCCATCACAGATGAAATTTAGCTTAGCTGGGTAGGTAATTATTGGTTGAAATTGTTTATCTTTGAGAACTTTGGAGATTGGACTCCAATCTCTCCTAGCCTGAAGCGTTTCTGTAGATAAGTCTGCTGCTATTCATATTGGTCTTCCCTAGTAGGTAGTCTGACTTTTCTCTCTTGCTGCCTTTATGATTTTTTCTTTTGAATTATTATGTGTCTAAGAGTTGGTCTTTTCATTTGTTGTCTTGCAGGATTCTCTGAATCTCTTGTGTTTGAATGGTCTTGTCTCTGATGAGATGAGGTAAATTTTCTTGAATAATTTCATGGAATACTTGTTCCAGAGTGGTCTCTGTCTCTCTATCTGCCCCAGGGATTCCAATTAATCTTAAATTTGGCTTCTTGATATAATTGCTCATTTCTTGGAAGCTTTGTTCTGTCTTTTTAAGCTTCTTTTCTATGTTTTTGCTTTTTTTTTTTTTTTTTGAGTTAGAGTCTCACTCTGTTGCCCAGACTGGAGTGCAGTGGCTGCTCCCGGCCACCGCAGCCTTGACCTGCTGGGCTCAGGCGATCCTTCCGCCTCAGCCTTCCAAGTAGCTGGAACTACAGGTGCGCTACCACACCCAGCTAATTTTTTTTATTTATTGTACAGATGAGGTCTTGCCAAATTGCCCAGGCAGGTCTTGAACCTGCGGGCTCAGGCAATCCACTCACCTCAGCCTCCCCAAGTGAGGGATTACAGGCTGAGCCACCGAGCCTGGCGTTTTTTTTTTTTTTAAAGTCAGTGTCTCACTCTGTTGCCCAGGTTGGAGTGCAGTGACACATTCATGGCCACCACAGTCTTGACCTGCTGGGCTCAGGCAATCCTTCCATCCTGGTCTTCCAAGTACCTGGAACTACAGGCACATGCTACCATGTTCAGCTTATTTTTTGCTTTATTGTAGAGACGAGGTCTCACCAATTTGCACAGGCTGGTCTCGAGCCCCTGAGCTTAGGCAATCTTCTTGTCTTGGTCTCCCAAAGTGCTGGGATTACAGGCTTGAGCCACCACTCCTGGCCTCTTTCCTATGTTTTTAACAGTTTGGATTAGTTCCATATTTTGCTGACCACTTCTCAATATTTGTGTCCCAGCTCAAAGTCCCCTTCGGGCATCTTTTTGATCACTTATTTATAGTAAATCACATTTCCCCTCCAGTTATCCCATCTCATTGTGTTGTTTTATTTTCTTTATAGCACTTACCCTTGTCTGAAAGTATACGCTTTATTTTTATCTACTTATTTATTTTTCTCTTTTCCTCAAAAATATAAACTTGAGGGAAGCTGAGGTCATTAGTCCTTTTTTTTTCTGAGTTGTAGTCTCACTCTGTCTCCCAGACTGGAGTGCAATGGCATGCTCATGACCACCCCAGCATTGACCTATTGGGCTCAGGTGATTCTTCTGTCTCAGCCTCCCAAGTAGCCGGAACTACAGGCATGTACTACTATGCCTGGCTTTTTTTTTTTTGGACAAGCAGGTCCAGCCTGGATGACAGAATGAGACTCTGACTCAAAAAAAAAATTCTGTTCTGGATATCTATTACTTCACAAGAAATTACACACACACACACACACACACACACACATTTTAGTTGGGGTCTCATTCTGTTGCCCAGGCTGGAGTGCAGTGGCATGATCATGGCTCACCACAGACTCACCCTCCTGGGCTCAGGTGATCCTTCTACCTCAGTCTCCTGAGTAGCTTAGACTACAGGTGCGTACCACCACATTTGGCCACTTTTTTTTTTTTTTTTTGGTAAAGATGAGGTCTTGCTATGTTGCCCAGACTGGTCTCAAATTCCTGGGCTCAAGCAATCCTCTTGCCTCAGCCTCCCAAATTTTTGGGATTACAGGCTTGAGCTACCATGTCCAGCCTCAATACTTACTAGAGCAATCATTTTATTATGCTCATGCAATTGTGGTACAGGAAATTTGGACAGGCCTTGACCAGGTGATTTTTTTGTGCTATGAGGTGTTGACTGGGGTCACCTGGTGGAATTTCACCAGTTGCTAGAATGGTGGGTCCAAGATTGCCTCATTTTCATACACAGTTCCCAGTGGAGATGGCTGTAAGACTGGGCTTGGCTGGCCCCCCGCTGGATTTACATGGTGGCTCAGGGCTCCAAGAGAGCAAGGTTGGAACTGTTAGTCTTTTTTTTTTCTTTTTAGTTGGAATCTCACTATGTTGCACAGGCTGGAGTGCAGTGGCATGATTATAGCTCACCACAGTTTTGAACTCTTGGATTCCAGGGATCCTCCTGTCCCAACCTTCTGAGTAGCTAAGACTACAGGCATGCACCACTATACCTGGCTAATATTTAAATTTTTGTAGAGATGGGATCTCACTATGTTGCCCAAGCTGGTCTTGAACTCTTGGCCACAAGTGATCCTCCTGCCTTGGTCTCCAAAAGTGCTGGAATTACAGGTATGAGCCACCACACTCCACAACATCCACTGTATTCTTTGGTCAAACCAGTCACAGGCTAGTCCAAGTTCAAGGGAGGAATATCAACGCATGTGCAGCTGTTTTAAATCTGGTACATTTCTGAGACAGACTATTAACAGTTTCACAAACTATCCCCTTTTATCTTCCCTTTCCTATTACTTTACTCATTTATTGATTCACAAGACAATGAATATCATATATTGGTTTAGGTCTTCTGAAATTTTAGGCAAAAATGTATGTCTATGTATTTTTCTGTGGAATGGGCTCATAGTTTTCATTGATTTCTCAAAGGAGCTAATGACTTTTCTTCTCCAATCAAGCATTTGCCTTACCAAAATTGTGGAGTAGGTGTTATACCTACTAAGTTTTTGTAATAATAATGCAATTAACAACTATTTAAAACATAACACAACTGTTACTGCCTGTTTTTGTGCTGGGATCAGTTCTACTCTAAGTAGTAGTACTTATTCTTATTTTACAGATGAGGAAACTGAGGCAAGTGGTGGGGCTGGGAACCTAGTATCCTGGCTTCAGAGGGACTCATGTGGTGAGATCCTGCTCATGAGTAACAGTGTATTTGTTTGTAAATTGGGGATAACCATAGTGGTCAGTGTCATTACGGGGGATAGAATGAGCTGAATTAGGACAGTCCATAGCTCCTTGCCTGGTGCACATCACTAGAGGTGTTTAATAAATACAAGCCCTCTGTGATCCCTATTGTATTCCAGGCTTTGCTATCTTTTCTTGTAGAGATACTGGTGCATTAAGTGCAGGACCCAACAGGGCGTGGGTGGGTGGAGATTTGGAAGTCTAGGACCAAAGCTGGAGGGAGGCCTACCCACTAAACTCTTTATGGCCTTATGTTTTCTTTTAAAATTGTACGCAAATGCTGCATTCTATCCCACTATTCAATTGCTTCTCTGTTAATATAAACCTTGTTGACTCCAGAGCTTTCTGCATCATTGTTCTTCTATTTTTTTTTTTTTTTGAGTCGGAGTCTCACTGTCACCCAGCCCAGGCTGAAGTACAGTGGCCTGCTCACAGCCACTGCAGCCTCGACTTGCTGGGCTCAGGCGATCCCTCTGACTCAGCCTTCCAAGTAGCTGGAATCACAGGCACATGCCACCATGCCAGGCTAATTTTTGATTTATTGTAGAGATGCGGTCTTGCCATGTTGCCCAGGTTGGTCTTGAACCCTTGGACTCAGGCAATTCTCTCGGCTCAGCCTCCCAACTTGCTGGGATTACAGGTGTGAGCCACTGGGCTCTGCCAGCATTTTTTTTTAATGCAGATTCTCTGTGTTGTGCCTTGACTTCATTCCCACCACTGCTCTTTGAGGGATTTAGGGTAGTGCAGGTTCGGGAATGAGGCCTTGTAGCTTTGGAGCAAAGCCGGACCCCTTGACCTGTTTGGGCCTCATCTTCTTCACTTATAAAGATATGGTGGTGACAAGATGATTTTACCAAAGTCCTTTTTGCTCTGGAAGACTGTTTGGCCTGGTGGTTTCAAACTGTTGCCTCATATTAGTAGGCAGAAAAAAAAATTCAGTGGGTCAAACGTTCAAAAAAAAATCGGTAACACTGCTTGGCGAATCTCTTATTTCTGAATATATATATATTTTGAGTTGGAGTTTCACTCTATCGCCCAGGCTGGAGTGCAATGGCACGCTCATGGTCACCACAGACTCGCCCTACTGGGTTCAGGTGGTATTTCCGCCTCAGCCTTCCAAGTAGCTGGAACTACAGGCACGCGCCATTACGCCTGGCTAATTGTTTAAAAAACTTATTGTTGACATGAGGCCTTGCCAAGTTGCCCAGGCAGGTCTCGAACCCGTGGGCTCAGGCAATCGTCTCACTTTGGCCTCCGAATGCTGGGATTACAGATGTCAGCCACCGCTCCTGGCCTCGGAATAGATATTTATACGAGACATACAAAATGTGCAGCTCAAGTGATCCTCCTGCCTCAGCCTCCCGAGGAGCTCGGACTCCACCACACCGGGCTCATTTTTTATTTTTGTGCAGACGGGGGCGGGGGAGGGTCTCGCTATGTTGTCCAGGCTGGTCTCGAACTCCTGGTCTCCAACGATCCTCCTGCCTTGGCCTCCCAAAGCGCTGAGGGCGGTAGCAAAAACTTCTGAAAGCTACTAACTGGCCGTGCATCCTCTGGGCGTGTATCCGGCGGAACAGGGTCACCCGGTCTTCCGAGGAGACCCACCTCGGATGCCCCACTTGAGGTCTTCAGCCAAAAACCGGGGGCTCAAGCCTCGCGAGGGCAGCGGCCCGCCGGCCTCCCGGACATCGCCCCTCCCGTCTCGGGGCGGGGCGGAGGAGAAGCGCGCGCCTCTGACGTCACCACCGCGCGCCTCCTGACGTCATCACCGCGCACCGCCGCCCTCGCCTCCCTTCACTTCGCGGGAGAAGTTGTTGGCGCGAGTGGATGCCGAGCGCTGCTAACGGATTCCCCCCGCCGTCCCGCCCGCCCACCAGCGCCTGATCCTGGGGCTGCGATGGTGAGCTCCCGGGGGAGGCCGTGCGGCTCGGGGGCTCGGGAGACTGTGCAGGCCGGGTGTGGTCCGGGCACCCCTGGGCTGGGGGTGGGGAGGACGGCGAGGGCCATACTCCGGGCAGGGGCGCCGTCAGCGTGCAGGAATTCCGTGGCTACGTGTACTTTCACTCCCCCCCCAACTCCTGGGGGAAGGGAGGGAATGAGGATGGTGATTTCAGGACTTCGTGGTCAAGTGATTTTCCTGTTCGGCGAGGCCTCGATCCTCGATTTGAGTACCGTCCCGAGCGTGGGTTTCAAGCTTCGGGTTCCGGGGAGAGAAGACCGTAACAAAGTTTCCTTTCTTGTGCGTAAGTTGCGGAGCGGCCTTCAGCTTTGATCATCAGCAAACAGTTTCGCTCATCTCGTCTCTGCTGCTATTTAACGCTCATCTCAGCTGTCTTGAGACCGAGGGACCGGGGAGGAGGCTTTATTTTGTTCAGATGCGTTTGTAGGAGCCAAAACGATAACACAGGTTTAACAAGAAAAAGGATTTCAGCGAATAGAAACAGATGATCCTTTTGACAGTTGCCATCTCTTATCACCTGATGAGATGGGTTTTTTAGTCTTAAAAAAACAACAAAAAAACCAAATCTCAATGTATAATTCTGTTTAAAGCATTAAGCAAATTGAGAGTGAAATAATTGTGCAACCAGCAAAACAGATGTTCATGATGGTGTGGCAACGGATACAGTGAAGTGTTAGAAATATTTTAAATTGAAAGGACAATTTAAGATGTTCTCTTAAGCCAGAAGATACTTAGCAATCTGTTACAATTTTTTCATTCTGTTGCTTGTCAGAATGACTTCATTGCAGGAGGTGAAAGTTTTAAGCAACGTTGGGAAATCTTGCAGCCCTTTGTGTTTCTTCTCTTAAAAAGATAAAAGAATAATGATAGTAGCCATCCATACCAAGCACCTTCGGTCAATATGTTAACTTTTGTTTTACACACCTTTTTTCATTTCAACTCACAGTGATCCAGTTTTACAGATGGTAAAAGCACCTTTTAGAATTTAAACAATTTGTCATACAACTGGTAGATGGTTGAAGTAGAATTAGAATCTAGGAGTTTCTGACTGCTATATTACATTGCTTCTCGAAAATGATCATCATCATTTGTTCTTAATTTTTATCCTTGAGTCCGGGTCTCACTCTGGTGTCCAGGCTGGAGTGCAGTGGCAAGATCATGGCTCATTTTAGCCTTGACCTCCTGAACTTAGGCGATCCTCCTGCCATAACCTCCTGAGTATCTGGGACTACAGGCGCACACAACTGAACCTGGCTAATTTTTAAATTTTTTTTGTAAAGTTGAGGTCTCACTATGTTGTCCAGGCTGGTCTTGAACTCCAGGGCTTAAGCAATCCTGCCTTCGCCTCCCAAAGTGCTGGGATTACAGGTGTGAACCACTGCACCCAGCCCATCATCAAATTTTGGAGTTCAGACACCATGATATTGTGTAAAATTGGTGAGATTTGGCATCTTGAAGGTGAAGAATGGGTTGATATTTTAGCTTAATAGTTTATGTTATATTACTTTCTTAGTATAGTTTAGTTTAATAGTTATGTGGTATTGGGCAAGTAAGTAACTTAAGTTTAATCTCTTTAAGCCTCTGCTTCCATACTTCTAAAAGGGGAAAAATAATAGCTGCCTTAAATGACTGTTGAGGATTAAGCAAGATAATATATGTAAAGCGTCTATTCTGGTGCCTGGCATGTAGTAGGCATTATACAACTACACAACTACTAATGATTGTTTTCTGAGAAAGGACTCTATGGAAAGTTGCATAGATTTCAAGGAGCATCATGGATGCCTCTGATGTTGTCAGTTATGGTGAACAACAGTTTGTATGGTCAACTTTTGATCATTCCAGTACATTTATTTATTTATGAGTTGGAGTCTCACTCTGTTGCCCAGGCTGGAGTGCAGTGGCACGCTCACAGCCACCGTAGCCTTGACCTGCTGGGCTCAGGTGATCCTTCCCTCATTCTTCCAAGTAGCTGGAACCACAGGTGTGTGCCACCATGCCCGGCTGATTTTTTTATTTATTGTAGAAATGAGGTCACATCATATTGCTCAGGCTAATCTTGAATCCTCTCGCCTGTGCCTCCCAAAGTGCTGGGATTACAGGCATGCGCCACAGTGACTGGCTGCATTCTGGTGCTTTTAATTTAATTTTTTTTAGTATTCCTGTTCCTGGTGCAGATAAGAAAAATAAAACTTTTTTTCAGACAAGAAATAGTTCAGAATAGTCAGTTTTCGTATTTGTTCATGTGCAAAGGCTCTTTAAAGTAGATACAGATTTATATTATATTGGTAGTTACTTTAGCCCTCAAGTCTCTACTAGAAAATTTCACAAAACTCTAGATTAAAATTCGGTTAAACAAATATTTATGGAACACCTGTACACAATATATAGGACAGTAGCTCTTAATCTTTGGGTCACAGTTCCCTTTGATAAATGTGGTAAACGGTATGCAGATTTTCTGCCCGGAGAAATGCATGTAGGCATACATATCATTTTAGGGGATTCACCTATCTTCTGAAGCCCATCCAGAGATAGCTCTTACCCTGGGAGTTGCATTTTTTTCAAATGCTTTTCAATGAAAAGTTATCAAAGGAATAAAATACTGTATCCACATATGGAATACTATGCAGCTATTAAGAAAATGAGAAAGAGAAGCGGGCTCGGTGGCTCAGCCTGTAATCCCAGCACTTTGGGAGGCCTAGGTGAGTGGATTGCCGGAGCCCACGGGTTTGAGACCAGCCCAGGCAACTTGGCAAGACCTCATCTCTACCATGAATTAAAAATTAGCTGGGCATGATAGCGTGCCTGTAGTTCCAGCTACTTGGAAGGCTGAGGCGAAAGGATCACGGAGCCCAGGGTGTTGATGCTGGGGTGACCGAGAGCATGCCACTGCATTCTAGCCTGGGTGACAGTAAGATTCCAACTCAAAAAAAAAAAGAAGAAAGAAAATGAGAAACGTTTATACTCTGATATGAAACAATTGCCAAGACATAAAGTCTCTCTGGAAAGATATACAAGGAAGTAACTGATAACATTTGTTGCTTCCAGAGATGGAAAGTATGTATCTGAGAGACAGTGTAGGAGGGAGACTTTTTACCCTTTTGAGAGTTTTGTGCCATGTGAATGTATTATCTATTAAAGGAATAGATATGAAATGAAAAATAAAAGGAATAAAAAGGAAGCCGTGTAAACAATTTGAATTGTTGTGAGATTTGTTTGCTCAAAATGTGGATAAGCCAGGCATGGTGGCTCAAGCCTGTAATCCCAGCCCTTTGGGAGGCCGAGGTGAGGGGATTGTGTGAGCCCACAGGTACAAAAACAGCCTGGGCAACTTGGTGAGACCTTATCTCTACAATAAATCAAAAAATTAACCAGGCGTGGTGTGCACACCTGTAGTTCCGGCTACATGGAAGGCTGAGGCAGAAGGCTCACCGGAGCCCAGAAGGTCAAGGCTGCGGTGGCCATGAGCGTGCCCCTGCACTCCAGCCTGGGCAACGGAGTGAGATTCCAACTCAAAAAAAAAAAAAATGTGGATAAAACCTGAGAGATGTCATTTAAAAAAAAATCAGCATATGTAATTAATTTGACTGGCTTGGATAGATTTTTTTTAAAGCTTGTTGATGATAATCAATTTCTGCTCATAGATTGGGTGGGCTATATTAACCAGAAATATATTTCTTTATTACTCTCAGAATAGAGAAGTAAAGTCAAAATATAATATTTTGGCAACCACTCAGTTGAGTACTGTGAAACTTAGTTTGCATAAAGTTCTGTACTCTTCAAATATAAATGACCACAGTGACATAATTTGCTTTCTTTTCCCCTTTTTGGTAGGCAAATATAATTGATTTGTTGGTTGAGCCCATTAGCAGTGGGGAAAAATAATTAGAGCTGTTTGGTTGTACTTTAAATTATATCAGCTTTTATACTTAGACCTTCTGAAGCTAAAGGTCATTATGATAGTTTACTTCTGTGTGAGTTTAGGAGGTTTTATTGCAAACATTAAAAAAAAAAATCTCTATTAATTGATCTGTAACCAACCAAATTAGAAATGTCTTGGTATGTGTTAAAGACTCTTAAAAATGCATGGCTTTTTGAGTACTTGACAGTTTGGTATTTTGTCTTGGCATTTGTAATTTTATATGGCATACATATAAAATTATATTTGAACTGCTGGATAGGCAGTGCTTCTCTCTCATAGTGCTGTAGAATTGTTAGTTATACCTTAAGGTAGGAAAATGCAATTTTCCCCCTTACATTTAGAGCATTCTAAGTTTCAAAATTTCTGCTAGAGAATATCTTATTTACATTTTCCATGTTCTCACCTGTGAATTGGGGTTAACAACTTCTTAGGGTTATGTGGATTAAATGTGTTGATATTAAGGTACTTAAAGCATTGCATGGCTAAGTAAATAAATGAAGTCCTGAATCAGGACAGTGGCAATGGGAATAGAGGGGAGAGGACAGCAGTATTTGAGAGACAGGTTGGGAGCCTGACAGATGGGACCATGGCAGGTGTTTCTTTTGGGGTGAATCGTGGTGTTATGCATGGAGATGCAGAGTAAGGGGGAGAAGCAGAGTAAGGGAGTAAAGCAGGTCCTGGCAGAAGATGATTTTAGTTTTGAACAGTGTAAGTCAGAGGCACCTTGGGGAACGTGGACAGAGATGTATTTGGCTACGTTAACTACTTAGATATGGCGCTCAGAGGCAGTCTGGAGTAGAGAAACAAGATAGGAGGAATCAGTAGGTATGTAAGTGGTACCGAGGCTATGAAGGTGTCAACTCACACAATGTGCCTTTGTGGATCTGGAGTTTTGACTTGGGATTCATGGTAAGCTTCAGGTGAAAACTTCTAAAATTGCATGCAAAGTTTTGTGTGAATGTTGTTCTTGCATATTTCTGTGGAAAATACTGATAGCTGTCACCAGATCACAGAAGTATCA